CACGGCCGCGGTGAAGCATAAATATTTCCGCGAAGCCGGAATAGTTGGCCCGAGGGCGACGCCTTATTTATTGGGAGCGACGATGCGCAAGCACGCTCACTAATTGACACGTAAAAGTCGGACGCTATCGCAATAAAACTGAACAACGTATCGAGAAAATGGCCATGCAAAGATTGCAGCCGAAAGCATAAAAGGTTCGTAAAAATTTCAACCGTTTTTCGGCTTCACAGAAGCAATCCCGGTAATGCTGATATACGACACGAATAACGGCGATCGATCGCAAGCGTTTTCGCAAGTATTTTTATGTAAGAGTAAAGAAATATATGCACAGTTACTGAGAGTAAGAAAATTTTATTGAGTATAATAAAATTGATTAAGAATAATAAAAATCTGTTATGCCTGCGTGGGAAATAATAAATTGCACAGCTTTATTCTAACCATTTTTACGTTTCACGTCATTAAAATATCGTATAAAATGCTTCGAGGCACAATTCTTCTTGCGCTCTTACGCAATCGGGGACAATCGGCAGCCGTGTGCGAGGCTAGCAGCACGCGCGACACGGTCCGTTACGTCGCGTCGCGTCGCAGCAGGCGCCTTAAACGCGCGTTAATGAATTCCATCCACACCCCCGAAAAGAGCGACAACAGCAGCAGCAGCAGCAGCAGCAGCCACGTGCACGCACCGGTGCGCGGATGTATCGCCCGATTCCCGATTTCTCCTCTCGTGCGGTGTCGCGAAAAACGCCCGACACTTTCACGGCGCGGTGCGTGTGCGTGCAGCTGTCGCGGCGAAAGAGGCACTCGTTACACGGCGGGGATATATATTCGCGTGCTGCCGCAGGCGACGGGAAACGCGGACCTTCTCGGCTTGGATATCAATTCTCGATCCGAGCGCTCGCGCAATCCGTCCGATATGACGATCGTTTAATTAAAAATTAAACGACGCGCACGATCGGCCGCGACTCTTTCTCGACAATCGCCGGAACGAAACGGTCGTTTCACGGTTTAACGAAAAATTCGACGTCGATCATCTCCGCCGTGCATCCTCTCTCTCTCTCTCTCTTTCTCTCTCTTGTAACCGTTCTTCGGACTGCTCGCGTGTCGATTAAGACATCGATAATTTTATTAATACTTAATTTACGAGCGGCACTTAAAAATTATACGGGCTCGATAACAATAAACGTCATTTAATAACAATAAAACGTGAAACGTGCAAGTTTAACGCACGCATTTCCGACGGATATCGTTTCGTCGTAAGTTTCTTGTCGCTTAATGCCTTGCAGTTACAGCTTTATTCCCGGCGGTGGTTATTTTACGACTTTTACAACAATGTTCGAAAGCTCATGTCTGTGTGATACGCGGCGAACGTAAATTTCGAGAAGATGGCAAATTTTCTTATCATCTTCCATTTGAATGATTTACGAGAGGACTTTCTGTCGCCTTTCACCTCGTTTAGGTGAGAGATAGGAGAGCTTTGCGCGGAAAAACATACGGGCTTTACGGTATATTCGTGATTATTGCTGCTACTTTGTATATTCCGCGTATTATGTGTAAACTTTTTGCATTTATAGATTCAATAAATAAATTAACAAATAAATATATTAATTTTTAAAAAGTTGGTTTTATTCATTTTGTAAGCAGCAACGACTTATGAGAATTTTATGACAAAATAACAGAAAAGAAAGTATTTCTTTTATTTGAAAAAATTTATTTTAAAATCTTAAAGAGTTCTTAGGGGAAACCTTGAAAAATGTTTTCAAAAACAATTTATTATTTATTTATTTCCGCCTTTTTGTGCCGCAATTTGCTTCTCGTATTTCTGCGAATTAGCACATTTTGCACTCTGTTACGTGAAAGGAAAAAAAGGGACAAAGAAACTCGCGTTCTCCAGCTATTCTATTAACACTATTATTATTATATCTTATCGTCGATTCTCGATCTTTTTCATGGCGCGGCAATGAAGCGCGATGTACCGTTCCCGGGACTCGATATTATCGGCACTTTGCAACGTACTTTACCATTCTTACATGTTTCTCGTATTACGAGTAACGTATTACGGGTTTTGCGGCACGCGCGAGTCCGGGCACGTAAACGACATTAGCCTAATTGCGGAGTGGCGTTCGATGCGCGCGAAGGCGATAAATCGTTGCGCCGCGAGAATAAAGGCGGCACCACCCGGATAATGAGATTATCACAATTATCGGGCGCATCGGTATTATTACGCGGGGCGGTCGCCGGACGCGACGTTGATGCCGCGCGATGGCGAAAAAAAAAACGGTTTTTTTTCTTCCCTATTTTCTTTTTTTTCTCTCATCTTCGGTGACGCCGCCAAAAGAGAAAACGAGCCCGCAGCTACGAGGACGACGCGCGCGCGCGCAACCGTGTTTCGAGCTTACTTTGTCCGCGACCGGGCCGCCTGACAATTTGTGCAAATAATGTTGCGAACTCGATCGAGAATGGGTCGATTGTACGCACGAGGAGGAAGCCGAGGAGAAAATCTGCTCGGAGCTATGGAATCGCGTGCAGAGCGAGTGGCGTTTGCGCCGCCGCGTGTTGTGCTACGCAGAGCGTATCGGCTGCAGTCGCCGATCGCAGCATCTGCGAGCGAGCGAGCGCGCGCGAGGTGGGACACACATGGCCAGAAAATATTATTCGACGAGCACGACGAAATTGCGCAACGTGTCGCGATAACATCGGCTCTTTGACGTATCTCAAGGTGGCTACATGATTGTGAAACGGTATTAAACTCCGGTATAATGTGAGCTAATTTAAGAATACGGAACGTCTCGCTTTCCTGACACGATGCTTCTAAGAAGCGCGTCACGCGACATTTGCACTTGTAAAGTACATTCAAATACAGATATATGCATTTATCATTGATTATTAAAAAACTAAATTTTTTATAGGGAATTTTTACATTTTGAACATTTCCCTCAGCTATTCGTTCCATTTCGAACTCGTATTCACAGTCATGTCTTGAAAGTGTTACGAAACGATTATTAAGATCACAAGATTTTCTACGGAAGAAGAAAATTATTTGTACTTCGTAAACTGAAGCAGGAAGTCAAAGTAAAGTGTTACGCGAGCAAGCGCTCTCATTCAAAGCTTTTTGTATGTGAATCGAAATTTTTGCATCGAAAGTAGATGTGAATAAATCAAGAGAGAGGCGGACAGAGGAGCATAAATAAAATAGGCTGAAGGAAAAACGGGGCAAATTCCCCGGCGCGAACACCCGGTCGTTCGATAGATATATTGCTTCATTAAAAAAGAGCGCACTCGATCCGTGTATCGAAAGAGAAACTCGAACAGCGGCTGCTGCCTGCGTGACGCGTGCGTTAAGCGCGCGTGCAACAAGTGGCGCACGCGGTAACAGTCACGCGCGTGCCATTGCGCTCACGATAGTTATCTCACTTGTTTAATGGTCTCGTAAAGGAGAAGGGTTACTAAGGGGGAAGAAAATCGAGACGCTCATAAAGATAGACTCACGCGATTAATGGCAACTGAATGATTCAATAACGTTCAACGTTTGTAAATAAATCTAAAGTAAATTTTAGTAAATCTAAAAAGAAATTTAAATAAGTCACGTATGATACTTTCATATAAAAAATATATTAAGAGAAAGGAATTAATTTTAAAGTACTTATTTTACGTCTCTCAACGTCTCGAAATTGTTTTACGCTTTCGTCGAGTTTTGCACGCCGAGGTTGTTCACTGAATTACTTGTAAACATAAAACCACACGATATTTTATATCTCAATCGTGTTGTTTTTTCAGAGATAATGATTATCGTATAATAAAATAGTATCTCGCTTAGATTTACAAACAAGAAAAAAAATCTTAATACTTTCTGGCAATCTGTGCGGAATCACACTGAATTAATTTAGTCAATTAAAAATTGCGTGATTAATGACGCAAATATACAAAACAAAAATTTTAAAAATTTAACAATTACATTTTGCAAATAATAAGTCAGGTAACAAATTAATAATTAATTAATTACTTTAAAGTTGCTTTATCGGCGCTCAATGCTTATCTTCTCAACATACGAACATACTTTACTTTACTTCACTTAAAAATTCGCAAAAATCTGAATAATTATTATCACGCAATATTTTATAGCCGATGCGTGTCTCAAAAATAATCCGACCAAACGCCCCGAGTCAGCCTTGAAAACATGCAAACACTTTTAACATGATATGAAATATTTTCCATATTACAAGGTATATTCCTTGCGTTTCAAAGTTTAATTTTGACAAGTAAATTACTATTGTATTTTTTTCATATTGTATTTTAAAAATTGTTCTCTGTAAATTTATTAACGTTGTCTAAGATACAAATTAATTTAAACATTCCACGTTTTAAAGTTCTTAGAATGTTTTAATATCTCATGTAATATAAGTGAATAAAAATGCATGCATTGATCCACGCAATGAATGTTGATAAAATAAATATCGTGAAATACGTAATTTAACAAATCACTGATACACAAATTTATACCGAAGTTCTGTCACATGCATGTGACAATTATGTATTTCACGATATTTATTTTATTAATCATGATTAATAACTATCGATAGAATTTATAATTAAAGATTTTTTTCCTCAAAATTTACTGCGTGAGCAATCATGTTTGCAGAAAGCAAGTATTATTGTATAATTATAAGCAATCGGAATTCCATGGCGCGACTTTGTCCTTGTATATTCTATTACCCTGTTATTATTTGCACGGTGACATTCCATTGCGTTTTGTGTCGTTTCCTTCTGAATGTAGTACGTATTCCTGTGATAATATTCATGTTATATCTTTATCATATATGTAAATATGACAAAGTACGCGTTGAAAGTGTCGTATAATGTATCGCGCGATAATAATTATTCGGATTTTTGCGAGTGAATAGTATTCTCATATTGAGAAGAGGAGGATAATTTTTTATAATAATTAAGAAAATATTATTTAATTACTTTTAACACACTACTAATTTGAATTTACTTTGTTTTACAGATCAGTTTTGCTCTTGTTCATTACATATGATTAACATCTCTCAGGAGATTTTCGAATGAGCATCAAACGCTAGCGCAGCATTTTAAAGGTATTTACCTCTACTTTTCTATTAGTTGATATTTTAGTAATATAATGATTGGTTATTTTTTATAATTAAAATATTTCCGACTTGATATTTAGTAATATAATAATTGGTTATTCCTTATAATTAAAATATTTTCGATTTTCTCAAGTTTTAATCAAATTTGTAATATTTATAATGATTTCAAACATTTATTAGAAAAGTAGATCATTTAAATAGTGATATAATTATTTTATTAAGTATCTTGAGAAATAATTAAAAAATATAATACGTACTAAATTTTTCATAAAATATATAATTACTTTTAGCACACTACTAATTTGAATTTACTTTGTTTTACAGATCAGTTTTGCTCTTGTTCATTACATATGATTAACATCTCTCAGGAGATTTTCGAATGAGCATCAAACGCTAGCGCAGCATTTTAAAGGTATTTACCTCTATTTTTCTATTAGTTGATATTTTAGTAATACAGGGTGGCTCCGCACGTTCCGGCGAGGTTTTGAGATTTTATAGGAAGTTTGATTCTGAACCAAAAATTTCGTACAAATATGGGTCGAAAAATGCTTCCTTAAAAAGTTAGCGCCCAAAAATCTCTGAAATCACGGTTATTTGATACATTTTTACAAATATCAGTAAATATCGTAAATGTAATGAATACCCGCGTATTCTTCGTTTGAAAAAATTCTAGGCATTTTTAAGCAAATCCAATAAGAATTACTTCTCAAGAGTAGATTATACGGGGTTCTGTGCAATTGCTGCGTAGCTAGACGTTGTCTCATGTTATCTAGGAATGGCTTAGCACGTGGAAGGGATGGAATATTCTACGCGCTGGGGGATGAAGTGAGGATGGCTTCCTCCCGCACGTAAGCGACGCGACGTACCGCGTACGATGCGCTCCCTTTCACGCGCTAAATCACGCGCTAAGCCATTCCTAGACAACACAGAGTACGGGTAACGTCTAGCTACGCAGCAATTGCACAGAACCCCGTATGATTTACTCTTGAGAAGTAGTTCTTATTGGATTTGCTTAAAAATGCCTAGAATTTTTTCAAATGAAGAATACGCGGATATTCGTTACATTTACGGTTTTTGCAATGGAAACGCGGAAGCGGCAATTCGCGAATATGCTGCCCGTTTTTCCGATCGCCGGCAATTACATCGCTCTGTTTTCGTTGAAACGCACAGGCGTTTGCGGGAAACAGGATCATTTTGCAACTTGTCTGTGGTGCGGAGCCCTGCTCGCAACGCTAGAACAACAGAAAGAGTTGTGAGGCATTTTGAGACAAACCCAAATACTAGTACCCATCGTGCTTCTCTGAATTTGGGTATTAACCACAGTTAAAAGGTCGTTTCGGGAATTGGATATGTACACATATCATTTTACACCGGTTCAAAATCTTTTGTCAATGATATTTGAATTTAGATATAAATACTTCATCAAAAATTCTGTGGACAGACGAGAGTATCTTTACTAGAACGGGAGTGTTCAATTACCACAACTACTACCACATAAATTCTCATCTTCCTCGAATATCTTTTCAGCATCAATTAAATAAATGTTTGGCAGGTATGATTGATGAATACTTAATTGGACCTCACATTCTACGTGACCGCATCAATGCACACTAATTTTTACAGTTTTTGAATAACGATTTATTTGGTCTATTGTAAGATGTGCCATATTAAATCTTTGCTATGACAGTTGACCGCAGTTGAATGGATGCCCAGTTTACAGTGCTTATATTGTTGGAGATTGGCTAAACCAGCGTTATCCGGAAAAATGGATTTTTGGATCAGAATTAATTTTCTACAAGATCCCAAAACCTTCCCGGAACGTCCGAGGCCACCCTGTATAATAATTAGTTATTCTTTATAATTAAAATATTTCTGACTTGATATTTTAGTAATGTAATAATTGGTTATTTTTTATAATTAAAATATTTCCGACTTTCTCAAGTTTTAATCAAATTTGTAATATTTATGATTTCAAATATTTATTAGAAAAGTAGATCATTTAAATAGTGATATAATTATTTTATTAAGTATCTTGAGAAATAATTAAAAAATATAATACGTACAAAATTTTTTATAAAATATATAATTCTTTTTAGCACACTACTAATTTGAATTTATTTTGTATTTTACAGATTACAACTCTCGCAATTCTTATATTCGCGAATGCGTGCAAGTGCTTTGATTGAAAGATTGCTACAAAAATGCACACGCAATTCTGAGCTTCAGGCGTCAAGGAAGCAATGTTCAGGTAATTATATATATTAATTATATTATTATATTAATTATATATTTGTTATCTGCAAAATGTGGTTCATAAAATCAATGCAATGTAACGCACGTAAAATACTTCAAATATTCAGTAAAATATTCAATACAATATTTACAATTTTTAATATTTATAGTTATTAGATTTTTTCAACACATTTATTATTATTTCAAGTAATTAAATTTTTTTATAATTATTTTATTAGATTCTTGCTTAGAAGTCAAATTATTTGTTTTTAACGCTATCTATATTTTTCAAATATTAATTATTTTGAATAATTGCTGCTATAATTTAAATGTATTTTTGTATATTTTGCAGAAGATCGACAGAACATAGTTTTATAATACATGCGTTTCCGCTGCTACTCGTATTAATAAATTAGTACAATTTATTTTCAATGTTATTAGAGTGATCAGTAAGATAAGTGAGATAGATAGTGAGAGTTAAACTCACATCTAAAAATAATGTGAGTTTAACTTTCAAGATTGACATATTACACACAGTAATTCCAGAAGTGAATACTGGGCTTCATCACGCACTAATTTTTACGATTATCTTATAAAATGATAATATATAAATAGACTAATGTTTTTTGGAATTGGACTTCTCAATTAATAAAATTATTTTTTACAAATATTGATAAGTTTCAGAAATTATCAAGGGATGGGTAATTATATACTATTATTGCCTCACCTCCGATTTTTATGTCGAATTGTCGTGTCGCATGATAAAGCAATATAAAAATAGAATATCAAGTTTTCACGTTTTGTTTTTG